GCTGATGCTGGGAGGCGGAGAGCGGGGATCGGCGCTACGCGACAGAACCTGCTTGTGGACGGATCGGTGTTGTCGAGGCTGTGCCAGGGGGAATTCTCCACCTCTCCTACTGTAGAGGGACACGGGGGCTGGCACCGGTGGCGATTTTCCGTCGGCGTCGGACGGAGCGGGCCGGCGCGGGCGTGGTTCGGGTGGTGAACCGGTCGCCGGAGTCGGCGCAGGTCGAGATAGACGCGTTTCGGACGAGACGGGGACCCGCTACGAGCGGTTTTGCGGTGTTCAGCTGGGGCGGGGGCACTAGTCGGAAAAGCAGTCGACTAGACGGCCCCTCGAGCAGGGCAGCAGTTAGGAGAAGGGTCTCGGGGAAGCAAGGGATGGGCGAGGGCGAATGGTGGCTGGAGCTGAGCTGGACGAGCGGGCTGACATCGAGGTGCTATTGTCGTGCGTGGACGCGCGACGGGTTCCCGCGGTCGGCACGTTTGCGCGGCCACAGCGGGAGTGGAGGACGGATGCGGGGCTCGCTACGAGGCGCGGTGCTGCTGTCGGGCGAGGGCGAGAGAGGCCCTGCGAACGCGGCGGAGAGGGAGGTGGAGGTCGCGAGTGCGGGCACGAACGACACGGGCGCGCGACGGGAGGCGCGGCGGAGTTCCCGGAGGTTGACGATCGCGCGTGGGGTGCGGACGCTGACGCGGAGGCGCTCGAGGAAAGGCGAAGCTGGGGCCTGCGCGGCGCGATGGGGAGGGAACGGGAGCTGGGCGGCTGCGACTGGAGGCGGAAGGCGAGATCGATGTGCTGAGCCGGTGCGCGGCGCGCGGCGGGGATGCTGTCGGGAAGTGTCGCGGCGGGGGCGGACCGAGGGCGCGCCCGCGCACGGACTGATCGACGGGCTGGGTCGCGTGGCGGACCTTCGGGGGCGGCCGTCGGCGAGCGCAGCGGGGAGGCTGTCTACCCGGGGAGCGTTCGATCTGCGGGCGACGGTGGGCACGCGGCGACGCGAGGAGTCGGCGACGACGCTGACGCTATACCGCTCGGCGACGCGTGATCGCGACCGGGGACACGAAGGTGGGAAGGACCGGTGGCGGCGCTCGCGGCGGCGCAGTCGATTCGCGCGGTCCACGCCACTGCTCGCTCGTAGCGCCGACGGGCCCCGGCACTTACCGCTAGGGGCATTGAGTGGAACCGTGGGGCGGAGGAGAAGAACACCGCGAACAAAGGCTCGGCGGCCATGGTGGCGGGGGGGTGACGGTTCGGAGCCGCACCACGGCGGCCGGACCGGCGGTGAGTGACGGCTACGCTGAGCGATGCGGCGCTGGAGCCCGGGGAATCGTTCAGTCTGAACGCCGCGGTGCGCAACCGGGGCGGCGCGGGGCGTCGGCGACGACGCTGCGCTACCGCCGCTCGGCGGACGCGACGATCACGACAACGGACACGCGGGTGAGGAACGGAACGCCTCCTGCTCCTGCTTCCACTTGGGTGCGGAAGAGCTGCGCAGCAAGCCGAGACGATGGAGGAGTCGGTCCGGCTGACGGCCGCCGCACGACGGCGGGCACGTAATACTACGCGCCTGCGTGGGACCCGGTTGAGGGGCCGAAGTCGAAACGCGGAACGGAACAACTGATCGTAACCGGTCAGGAGGGAAGGGGACGGACAGAGGAACGGCACCGGACCTGACGGTCGTGAACGCCGCGGTGGAAGAAGAGAGAAGCATGGAGCCGGGGGAAGCGGTCACGCTGTCGGCGAACCGGTGACCAACGCGGGGGGCGATGCCGGTGCGTCGGCGACGACGCCTGCGCTAACGCCGCTGGCGGACGGCGACGATGCACGACATCGGACGCGCCCATTGGTGGGGACGGACGCGGGGGACGCGCTGGCCGCCCGTTCGCAAGTGCGCGGAGTCGGTCCGGCTTGACGGCGCCGACGACATCGGGCAACGTAATACTACGGCGCCTGCGTGGAACGCGGTGGAGGGCGAGCCGGACAAGACGGACAACGGCTCAGTAGGCCGGTCAGGCGGGACGTGGCGGGGAACCGACGGCCCCGGCCACGGACCTGAGGTCGGGACGACGACGGTGGACGCCGCGACCTGGAGGGGGGAATCGTTCACGCTTGTCGGCGACGGACCACCGGGGCGACGCCGGGGCGGCGGCGACGACGCTGCGCTACCCCGGTCTTCGGACGAGCGATCAGCGACCACAGGACGCGCAAGGGGGGACGGACCGGTGGTCTCGCGTGTGGCAGCATCGGGACGAGCGAGGAAGTAGGTTCAGGGCTGCGGCAGCCGAAGGACGGCGGGCACGTACTATACGGGGCGTGCGTGGGACGCGGTGGAGGGGCGAGTTCAGAACGCGACGGACAACTGCTCCGTCGACGGTCAGGGGGAAGGGGCCAGGAGCAGGCAGAGACCCCGCGGACCAGGCCAAGGACATGTGACGGGGTCGGGGAGCAGACGACGGTGGAAGACGCGAGGCCTGGAGCCGGGGGAATACGGTCACGCGGTCGGCGCGACGCGGAGGAACGCGGGCGACGGCGCTGCTGGGCGACGACGTTGCGCTACTTCCGCTCGGCGGCGCGACGATCGCGACAACGGACGCGAGGTGGGGACGGGACGCGGTGCCAGCGCTGGCCCGCACTGCGGTTGTTCGAGCGCGGATAGGAGGGTCGGCTCGGCTGACGGTCGCCGACGACCTCTGGCACGTACTACTACGGGGCGTGCGTGGACGCTGGTGGAGCGGCGAGTCGACGCGACAGGACAACTGCTCGTCGCCGGTCGGCGTGGACGTGCGAGACACGCCGGCCGCACAACGGACCGGCCACGACCTGGATGGTCGCCGCCGACGGTGGACGACGCAGAGCCCGCGCCGCGTTCACGCTGTCGGCGACGGTGGCGGCTAACGCGGGCGACGGCGCGGCGTGCGCGGACGACGCTGAGCTGCTTCCCACCCGAATCGGAGAACGTCGCGATCGCGACGTCGGACACCGAGGTCGGCGCAGCGGGTGTGCCGGCGCTGGCGGCGGGGGGCGTCGAGACGCGGTCGTGGAGGATGACGGTTCGCCGCCGACGGCGGGCAACCTACCCCGACGGCGGCGTGCTTGGACGCGGTGTTGCCGAGGAGTCGGCGACGGCGAACAACTGCTCGTCGGCGGTGACGGTGACGGTGCGCGAGCCGACGCTGCGGCCGGACCTGGCGGTGGTGTCTGTGAGCGGGCCCGAGTCGGTGTTTCCGGGGGAGAGGATCAGGTTGCGGGCGACGGTCCGCAGCGTTGGCGCCGCGGACGCGCCCAAGACGCGGATCGGCTTGTACTTTTCGGAGGACGCGGCGGTTTCGCCGTCGGATGACAATGTGGGCTATTACGGTTTTAGCGCGATGGCGGTTGGCGACACGCGGACCTTTCAGTGGCGTTTGTGTGACGGTGCCGACGGAGGTGGGCACCTACTACTACGGGGCGTGCGTGAACGCCGTGCCGCACGAGTCGGACACGTCGAACAACTGCTCGCGTTGGAGGTGACGGTGGTCGAGCCGACGATACCGCCGGACCTGGCGGTGGTGGCGAGCGGGCGCCGAGTCGGTCGTGTGCTCCGAGACGATGCTCCACCACACGTTGCGGCGACGCCCGCTTTACGAAACCCAACACGTTGCCGCGCCGTCGCGCGCGCACGACGCTCGCGCGTCCGCGCGCTTGTACCACGTTCGGAAGACGCGGCCGGCATCTACACTCAGCACACATCTGGATGCATCGACTGCACGAACATGAACATCGTGAGCGCGATGGCGGTTGGCGCCACGCGGACCTTTTCAGTGGCTGTGACGGTGCCGTACGGAGGTGGGCACCACCACTACGGGGCGTGCTGTGAAATCGCCGTGCGCACGAGTGCGGCCACGTCGAACAACTGCTCGACGGTGGCGGCCGGGTCGACGGTGCGGAGCCGTCGGGCAGACCGAGACCTGACGATCGTGCGTCATCAGCGGGGCCCTGCGAGTGGCGGCGACGTGAGCAAAGCGTCCGTACGAGAGGTTCGGGTTGTACGCGGCTGACCTGCACGTTGGCGGTGGGCGACGCATCCGGCCTTGGGAGATCTGTCCCGCCGCTCCACCCGGGCAGCAGGACGTCACCAAGTGTCCGCATGCGATCGTTTCGGCGAGCTACTACGGGTGCGTTGATGCCCCGCCGTACGAGACGGTCACCGACAACAACTGCTCCGAGACAGTCGAGGTGACAGCACATTCGAGGTGACAGCACATTGACGCTGCGACCAGGAAGGCGATGTCTCCGCGGCCGCGCATGCGAGGGCGCTAGGCGGGCAGCCGCGGTTCGTGGCGAGTCTCGTCGGGCTCGTCGGGATAGACCGCGGGGCCGGGCGATAGCCGCGGCGGGCGCTAGCCGCGGCGGGTTCGTGATGGCAACGGTCCGAAGCGCGGCGCTGAGGACCGGGGAGCGGAGCATGAGTGGAGCCAACGTGTGGTCCGAGGGGCGTTCGCGTGGAGGCGGAGACCTCGCCGGTGGTCTTGATGAGGACCGGGTGCCGGCGGGGTCGTGGTGTCCGAGATTGCTGTCGGATGGTCGACGTGGTCCGTGTTCGCGGTGTTGTCGGTCGGGTTGTTCGGGATGCATGCCTGGGGCGCGGAGGAGACGCACACGGTGCCGTACGTGCCGTCGGCTTCGTCGGAGGGGCGCGCGGGCGTGGTATCGGATCGAGACAGCCGCCATCGGCGGTTCTTCCAGGCGAGGTCCGGATCATGGCGGTCGACGACGCGGGCCAGCGCACTGTCGCGCATCGTCGGACGCTGGCCGCGCGAAGGCGGCGGTCGAGCTCGCGATCGTGCGCTGGAGTCCGGGAACACGTCGCTGGGATTTCTGACGGGGGACGGGCCCCGGGAGAGGGCGACATGGCGTCTGGAGCTGAAAGACGACGGATCTGGACATCGAGGCGCGGGCGGACTCGCGCGGCCTCGGAGGGTTGTCTGACGGCGCTGCACGACGCGGCGCTGGTGGCGGGCGAGGTCGAGCTGCCGCTGTTCCACCCCGGCGGCGACGCGCGGCGCAGCGTGCTGCGGCTGGCGAACGCGGGCGGCGAGAGGGCGACGGTGGCGGTGCGGGGCGTCGACGACGCGGGCCGCGCGGGCGGTCCGATGACGGTGGAGTTGGCGGCGTGGGAGGCGCGCGGCTACACGGCGGCGGAGCTGGAGAGCGGATCGGCGGCGGGCGCTGCGGATCGTCTGGGCGACCGGCATCGGCAAGTGGCGGCTTTTTCTGGAGGCGGAGCGGGGATCGGCGTACGCGACGAACTGCTGCTGGACGGATCTCGGTGTGTGTCGAGCGTGCCCGGGTGAATGTCGCGGGGACCGCTTGCACCGTGTGCCGCTTTCCCGTCGCGTCGGACGGCGCGGGCGTCGCGGCGTGGTTCGGGTGGTGAACCGTGGGTCGCCGGAGCGGCGCAGGTCGAGATCGACTCGTTCGACCGCACGGAACCGCGCCTACGAGCTTTTGCGGCTGTCGCTGGCGGGCACTCGTCGGAGCAGTTCGACTCGACGGACCTCGAGCAGGCAGTTCGGAGAAGGTCTCGAGGAAGGCACGTGATCGGCGAGGGCTACTGGTGGCTGGGCTAACTAGCGGTCGGACATCGAGGTGCGTCGTGCGTGGACGCGGCGACGGGTTCCGCCTGTCGGCGTTGCGCGGCACAGCGGGAAGTGAGACTGATGCGGGGCTGCGCTACGAAGCGGTGCTGCTGTCGGTCGCGGCGAGCTGCGGCCCTGCTGACGCGGGCGCGCGGAGGTGGGGTGCGCGTGTCGGGCACCACGACACTGGGCGGCCCCGGGAGCGCGGCGAGTGACGCTCGCGCCGTGGGCGTCGCGACGCTGACGCGGGAGGCGGCTCGAGGAAGGCGAAGCTGGGGCTGCGCGGGCCGCTGGGCGCGGGACCGGTACTGGCGCTGTCCTGGAAGCCGGACGGCGAGATCGATGTGCTGAGCCTGTGCCGGCGCGGGCGGGATGCTGCGGACGTGTCGCGGCGGGCGGCCCGCGGGCGCGCCGCGCGCACGGAGTGATCGACGCGGCGGTGTCCGTCGTGCGGACCTTCGGGTGGCGGCGTCGGCGAGCGCAGGCGGAGCTGTCTCCCGGGAGGCGTTCGATCTGGCGGCGACGGTGGCACGCGGCGATCGCGGGCGTGGCGACACCTGCGCTTTACGCTCGGCGGACGCGTGATCGCGACCGGGGACCCCGAGGTGGAACGGACTCACGGTGCGGCGCTCGCGGCGGCGCAGTTTCGATCTCGCGGTCGTTGTCGCTCGTCGCGCCGACGGCGCCCGGCACTTACCGCTACGGGGGCTGCGTGGACACCGTGCGGAGGAGACTAACACGGCGAACAACTGCTCGCGGCGGTGGCGGTACGGTTTTGGAGTGAAGGCGAGGGGGGGGGGGGGACACTGGGGGGGGTGGGGGGGGGGGGGGGGGGGGGGGGGGGGGGGGGGGGGGGGGGGGGGGGGGGGGGGGGGGGGGGGGGGGGGGGGGGGGGGGGGGGGGGGGGGGGGGGGGGGGGGGGGGGGGGGGGGGGTGGGGGGGGGGGGGGGGGGTTGGTGGGGGGGGGTGGGGGGGTGGGGGGGTGTGTGTTGGGGGGGGGTTGTTGTTTTCTCTTAGTCTAGCTATTGTGCGCTGGAGCCCGGGGAGGTTAGTCTGAGGGCCGCGGTGCGCAACAGGGGCGTCGCGGGTTCGTTGGGACGACGCGCGCTACCGCAGAGCTTCGGACGCGGCGATCGCGAATCGGATCGAGGGTGGGAAGGACGCGTGGATGCGCTGGCCGCCTCGGGTTCGTAGTGCGGAGTCGGTCGCGGCTTGACGGCGGCCGACGACGGCGGGCGCGTACTAATACGGGTCGTGCGTGAGCCGTGGAGGCTGTGTGCGAAAGAGACGGTAAAACTGCTAGTCGCCGGTAGGGGTGGAAGTGGCGAGCAGGAGGCGCGCCCTGCCGGAACTGGAGGTCGGGAGACGACGGTGGACGACGCGGTGGCGCAGGGGGGATCGTTCACTGTGTGCGGCGGGGTGATGACGCGGGCGACGGCGCGGCGGCGGCGACGACGCTGCGCTACCGCGCTCGGCGGACGCGACGATCAGCGCATCGGACACCGCGGCTGCACGGACATTGCGTGTGGCGCGCTGGCCGCCTCGGGCTTTCGAGCGCGGAGTCGATCGCGTCTGACGGCGCCGTCGACGGCGGGCACGTACTACTACGGGGCCTGCGTCGACGCGGTGGAGGGGAGTCGGACACGACGAACAACTGTTCCGTGTCGGTGAAGGTGGACGTGGAAGACTCGACGGCGCCGGACCTTCAGGTTGGGACGCCGACGGCAAGCGACACGAGTCCGGAGACCGGGGGCTCGTTCACGCTGTCGGCGACGGTGACGAACGCGGGCGACGGCGGGTCGGCGGCGACGACGCTGCGCTACTACCGGTCGGCGGACGCGACGATCAGCGGATCGGACACGGCGGCGGGCACGGATGCTGTTGGTGCGCTGGCGGCGTCGGGCACGAGCGCGGAGTCGATCGGCCTGACCGCGCCGTCGACGGCGGGCACGTACTACTACGGGGCCTGCGTCGACGCCGTGGCTGGGGAGTCGGACACGACGAACAACTGCTCGGTGTCGGTGAAGGTGGACGGGAAGACTCGACGGCGCGCGGACCTTCAGTTGGTGACGCCGACGGCAAGCGACACGAGTCCGGAGACCGGGGGCCCGTTCACGCTGTCGGCGACGGTGAGGAACGCGGGCGACGGCGGTCGGCGGCGACGACGCTGCGCTACTACCGGTCGGCGGACTGCGAACGATCAGCGATCGGACACGGCGGCGGGCACGGATGCTGTTGGTGCGCTGGCGGCGTCGGGCACGAGCGCGGAGTCGATCGGTCTGACGGCTCCGTCGACGGCGGGCACGTATTACTACGGGGCCTGCGTCGACGCGGTGGCTGGGGAGTCGGACACGACGAACAACTGCTCGGTGTCGGTGAAGGTGGACGTGGAAGACCCGACGGCGCCGGACCTTCAGGTTGGGACGCCGACGGCAAGCGACGCGAGCCCGGAGACCCGGGGGCTCGTTCACGCTGTCGGCGACGGTGACGAACGCGGGCGACGGCGGGTCCGCGGCGACGACGCTGCGCTACTACCGGTCGACGGACGCGACGATCACCCGATCGGACGCGGCGGTCGGCACGGATGCCGTTGGCGCGCTGGCGACGTCGGGCGCGAGCGCGGAGTCGATCAGTCTGACGGCGCCGTCGGCGGCGGGCGCGTACTACTACGGTGCGTGCGTTGACGCGGTGGCCGGGGAGTCGGATACCACGAACAACTGCTCCACGGGCCTCCAGGTGGTCGTGGCTACCTCGGGGCCTGATCTCGTGATCAGAGGACGCTTCGGTTAACAGCAGCAGGCCCCACATCGGTACGACATTCACACTGTCCGCGACGGTTCGCAATCAAGGCGCCGACCCCGCCTCCGCCACGACGCTACGCTACTACCGCTCCACCGATGCGACGATCTCCACATCCGACGCTGAAGTCGGGACTGATCCCGTCGGTGCCTTGGCTGCCAGCGGAGATAGCGACCAGTCGATCACGCTGACGGCGCCGTCGAGCGCTGGAACCTACTACTATGGGACGTGCGTCGACACTGTAACGGACGAATCGGACACGACCAACAACTGTTCGACGGGCGTTCGAGTGATTGTCCGAGACCCCAACAAACCGGATCTGGTGCCTACCTTTATTCTTGTGGCCGTGGGCGCCGATGTGGGTATCACGATACGAGTTGAGAACCGCGGCGGTGTGGCCTCCCCGGCCAGTACCCTACGTTTCTATCGGTCCACGGACTCCACAATCACGACAGCCGATACGGAGTTAGGAACGAGCGCTGTGCCCGAGCTCGAACCAGATGCGCACCACGATGGCTCCATAAACGTGGATAGGCCAGCCATGGACTTCTACTATGGAGGCTGCGTTGACGAGGTGGCCAACGAGGCGACCGCGAACAACAACTGCTCCGTCGGTTTGTCCTCCAGTTGAGGTAGCCCGTACACGTAATCTCTGACCGCCTCCAGAAACGTGCGGACCCGCTGCAGACACGTCCAGTAGGTAAGTGGGGGGATCCACGTCCCGCCGTGCGCACGTTGTCAGCAGGCTTGGATCGTCCCAACTCGCTCTGCGGCGCTCCGACCGCCGGTTGGGCCGATGGACTTGGTGCCCCGGCAACCCGCCACGCCCCTGCCGCCCCCGAACATCCCCAGCATGTCGATGACCGTGAACGTGTCGACGAACCGCAAGAACAGGTCCCCGAGTTGGGTCGCATCCGCCGCGTCGTGGTAGGTGCCGCAGGGTTATCGCCCGCTCGGGGTCACCTCGGCAGCCGACGACTCCTGTGCAACGACCCGCTTCGTGCACGCCGTGCCGAACAGTTCCGGGTAAACATCGGGATACTCCGACTCGCAGAACGCGATGGCGCCCCGGGTCTGGTTTACTACATACGCTTGCACCGCCTGGGAATCCGCTTCGCTCAACACATGGTCGAAGCCCGGCATGCCGACGGATGCGTAGACGCCCTCGCGCACGATCAGGTCCCAACTCGCGTGGGCGTCGGCGGACAGGTACTTGAGATCCGGCAGCGAGCTGCCGGACGTCACGCCGGAACCGTGGCAACCAGAGCACCATGTGTGATAGAGGAGTTCGCCGCGCGCGACCACCTCGGGCGTCGCATCGATGGCGGGAGGTTCGGGGATGTTCACGTGGGTGACGGCGGGCCGCGGCAACTCGGCGGTGCCGCCCAGCTTGAATGCCAGGATGCGCCCTTCGGTCAGCACGTTGCCCTTGTGCCGGGGCACGCCGGAAAACACGGTGAAGGAGCCGCCCCAGCCCGCGACCACCGCGATGTATTGTTCGCCATCTATGGTGTAAGCGACTGGCGCGGCGATGATGCCCATATACACCGGGGTTTCCCACAACAGTGCGCCGGAGTCTGCGGCATAGGCGGCGAAGTAGCCGTCGGACCGACCCTGGAAGACGAGGTTGCCCGCCGTGGACAGCAAAGCCGCCGTTCCAGGTGGTCGGGTGCTGCACTCGCCAGACCTCCTTCTGCGCAACGGGATCCCACGCGGCGAGATGGCCCTTCATGCTCTGCAGCACCTGGACCTGGCCATCGACGGTCTTCGGCGGCAGCAACGGGACGATATCGATGCCGGTATTGAACGCGCCCGGCCTGTACTCGAAGTCGGCGTCTTGTCCGTAGGGGAAGGCCATGTCCAGCGCGGGGATGTAGACATAGCCGGTGTCCGGGTTATACGCCATCGGGTGCCAGTTATGGCCGCCGTGGACGGACGGAAAGATGAGTTGGATGGCGTCCTCGTATCGGGCACCTGGGCTTTCCACCGGCCTGCCCGATGCGGGATCGATGTGGCTCGCCCAGTTTACGGGAACGTACGCCTGCGCCGATATGAAGGTGCCGTCGGTGCGATCAAGCACATAGAAAAAGCCGTTTTTCGGCGCCTGCATGATGACCTTGCGCAAGGCGCCGTCGATCTCGATATCGGCCAGAATCATGTGCTGTGTGGCGGTGTAGTCCCAAGTCTCGCCGGGCGTGGTCTGGTAGTGCCACGCCATGGTGCCGTCGTCCGGGTTGATCGCGACGATGGAGGAGAGGTACAGGTTGTCGCCGCCGCCGGGACTGCGGATGTCCCGATTCCAGGGCGTGCCGTTGCCGACGCCTATGTAGAGCAGGTTGAGTTCGGGGTCGAACGCCATCGAGTCCCAAACCGTGCCGCCGCCTCCGACTATCCACCACTCGCCGTTCCACGTGGGCACCGCCATCTCCATGGCCTTGCTTTCGAACGGTTTCGACGGGTCCCCGGGAACTGTCCAGAAACGCCACTTCTGCTCGCCGGTCTCCCAGTCGTACGCGGTGATGTAGCCACGCACGCCGTATTCGGCGCCGCCGTTGCCGATGACAACGAGGCCCTTGACGACCCTGGGCGCGCCGGTGATGGTATACGGCCGCTCCGGATCGATGGTCAGGACTTCCCAGACCACCTCCCCCGTGCCCGCATCCAGTGCCACCAGCCGTCCATCGAGCGTCCCGACAAAGACGCGCCCCTTCCACACCGCGACGCCCCGGTTCACCACATCGCAGCAGGCGTACTTTCCCCATTCCTTCGGCACCTTCGGATCGTATTGCCAGATGAGTTCTCCGGTGCGGCCGTCGTTGGCGTACACCCTGCTCCAGGTGCCGCTGGAGAAACATGACGCCATCGACCACGATCGGAGTCGCCTCGAGACCCCGCGCATCTCTGGTGTTCCAGTACCAGGCGAGGCCCAGACCGTCCACGTTCTCGTCGTTGATACGGGTAAGGGGACTGTGCCGCTGCTCATCGTAGGTGCGACCATGCGCGAGCCAGTTGCCGGGCTCGGCGTCCGCCGACCGAATCCGGTCAGTCGACACCGTGGCGGTCGCCGCACGGATTGCGTCCGCGCGGGTGAGTTCGGGCTCCCGGCCGCACCCCACAAGCACCGCCGCCAGAGCGCCGGCCACCAGAACCATCTTCATCCGCCACATGGCACGATCTCCCCTCGATCCCAGGCACCAGATTACACCGTACTGCGCTTCGTCCGGCAAAGCCGTGAACCGCCATCTCGATGTCCACGCTCGCTCGCATCCTGCGAGGCCCGTATCATCCTTTGGCAACCACGAAAATGGATGAGCCATGCTTGAGATACGCAAGACGAACGCCGTCACGCGCATCGGCTTCGGCGGCAAACTCATCGACTATGCGATGCTCGAGTCACTGCGCGAAGCTGTCGCAGCCGCCTCAGCCGACAACGCCGTTCGGGCGCTGGTACTCGACTGCGAAAGCGGCGGCGACGACTGGATGAATATGGGCGAGTGGCCGGCTCGGCTCGCCCATCGGCGGCCCGGGGGATCGCACGGACCCGGTCCCCTTCCGGAACAGGACGCCATCAAGGCGCTCCGGCGTTTCATGAAGCCGACACTCGCACTCCTGCGCGGAGAAGTCCTGGGGCTCGCACTGGACCTCGCCTGCGTCTGCGACATTCGCATCGCGGCTGCATCCGCCACAATTGGCGATCCGAGGATTCTCCAGGGCCGCGCGCCGGCGACGGGTATCAGCTACCTGCTGCCGAAGCTGATCGGCCAGTCCCAGGCCATGCGCATCCTGCTGTTGGGCGAGCCCATCGACGCCACGGAAGCCAGGCGCATTCAACTGGTGCACGAAGTCTTCGCGGACGCGGAATTCGATAGCCGCACCAACGAACTCGCAAGCGAGATAGCAAGGCTGCCGACCCGTGCCTGGGAAGTGCACAAGCTGCAGGTGTTGCCGCAGCTCGACCTGCCCTTCGACGCCGCCATGGTGCATTCGCTGGGTATCCGCCAGACGCACGTCATTGAGGACAGGGTGGAAGGCATCAAGGCTTGGCGCGAGCGCCGAGCGCCGGAATTCAAGGGGCGCTAAGGACTTAGGTCCGAGCAGATCTGGCCATGAGCGACGAAACGGCTTTCATCATCGAGGACGACGGACCGATCCGTCACCTGGTCCTCAATCGCCCGGACAAGCTCAACGCCCTGGATCTGGACCAACACGCCCGGATCAAGCGCGCGGTCGAAGCATCGAGCGGCGACGCGTCGGTTCGGGTCCTGGTCCTGTCCGGCCGCGGCCGGGCTTTCTGTGCCGGCGACGACCTGACCGCCGATACGCCAGCAGCAGAAGATCCGCTCAAGGGGCGGCGCGTCGATCTCGAAATGGGCGCGGGGCCCGCGTTTCTTCTCGAATCTGCGGCCGTCCTGCGAGCCTGTCCGAAACCGACCGTCGCATTGCTGCACGGACACGCCCTGGGCTCCGGCTACGACTACAGCCTGTCCTGCGACTTCCGGCTGGCGACAGCGGACGTCAACTATGGCGACCCGCGCATTCATCGAGGGCTGTGGGCAGCAGAGGGCTGGTCATACAAGCTGCCGCGGCTGGTCAACCAGTCCGTCGTGACGCCGATCGCCTATCTCGGCAAAACCATGGATGGGCAAACCGCCCATGACTTCGGGCTGGTACACCGTGTCTATCCCGCCGGTGCCGACCTGCGGGTCGACGCCAAGCCGTTCCTCGACGCGTTGGCGGCGCTCGACCTCGACGCCTACGCCCGGACCAAGGCGCGCATTCTGGCCGCGGCCGACCTCGACTTCGAGCACGCGCTGGCGTTCTCGCCCTAAGCGCCGCGTTGTTACGTGGTCGAATCAGGATAAACTTCGCCGACTCCCGACCAGGCAGTGCGGAGCACGCAATCGATGTATCAAAACGAGTTCGCGGCGGACCTTTCACCCCACGAGATGACGCGCACCGACGAGTTCCGAAGCCTGTGCCGGAGCGCGGCCGATTTGGGCTTGGCGCACAGTACGGACGTTCACTACTGTTCCCGGCAGACCGTCGTTCGCCGAATTCGTTTCCACTTCACCGAGTGGGGCGATCCGGAGTTGCCAGCGTTGCTGCTATTGCACGGGACGAATCAATCTTCCCACTCGTGGGATCTCGTCAGTCTTGCCCTCGCTCCTTCCTGGCACGTGTTCGCGCTCGATCAGCGCGGTCACGGCGACTCGGAGTGGAGCCGCGAACTCGACTACTCGACGACGGCGATGGCGGAGGACGCGATCGCGTTCGCCCGGGATCGCAAACTGAAGCGGCCGATCGTCATCGGCCATTCCATGGGCGGTCGCGTCGCCCTGCTCGCCGCGCTCAAGGAACCCGCCTTTGCGCGCGCGCTGGTCCTGGTCGATTCCGGACCTGAAATGAACACCCAGGGGGGCAGACGATCCGCAATTTCATTCACAACAACCGCGAGTTCGACAATCTCGACCAGTTCATCGACAACGTCGTCGCCTACGATCCCTACCGCAAGCGCGAGCACGTCGAGCGGACCGTCAAGTACAACATGTTCCAGCGCGCCGACGGCAAGTACGTCAGCAAGAACGACCATCGCCGGACGGCCAATTCCCGCACCGCGATCGACCTCGACGACGTAAGCGCCCTGCCCCACCCGGTACTGGTAGTGCGCGGAGAAAACTCGAACGTGTTCACGCCCGATGCCGGCCAACGCCTGGTCAGCGCCCTGCCCGATGCACGCCTGGTCACCGTGCCGAACTGCGGACACAACGTGCACTCGCAAAACACGCCGGGTTTCCTCGCGGCGGTCAAGCCGTTCCTGGAAGAGGTAGCGCGCGCCTGACCTTTGGTTCAGGAACGATAGCGCTCTTTCGGTTCGGTGCAGGTTGTGCGGACGCGATTCGTCTGGGCACGGATTGCTGCTTGCCCGTCCGTTGATCTGATTTGAAGGACTATGCTCGTTGGCCCCGTAGCGGCGAGACTCGGCCAAAACTCCAACCCAGAGGGCACATCCCGGAACCGCCCCTCCCACGCGAAAACGAGGCAAGAGGGGCGGACCGGTCGCTCATCATGACCCTCCCTGGACGCTCACCGCGCGCCCGGCGGCACCGTAACGCCGTCGGTTCCAGCTGCTGAGCGTGCGAGCCACGCGGAACCCGTTGTTGTCGTTGCGGTTGCCGGTGGTGTTCCGGTTCCGGTTCGCGGCGCGGAGGTTCCTCGGATTGTTGTTCCAGAAGCCGCCGCGCAAAACGCGCTCGGGGGAGGGCCAGGCTCGCGCGCCGGATCGAACCACCCGGCATGAAAGATCGACTGGCGCAGACGCCAAGTGTTCGCGTGCTCGGCGTGGGCGATCCAGGACCGCACTCGGCGGAGCACTTCTTCTTTCGTGGCTGTCCCCTGTCGCCAGCGGTCGCGCAAGCCGCGCAGGCGGTTGCGGAAGCGACGCACGTTCTCTTCGGGCAATCGCCGCTGCCCGTCCGGCAGCAGAACGAAGCCGGGGAAGGGCGCGGATTCGCAGTTCGGCAGGATCATTGTTTTGTGTGGGTGGAGCGGGAGGCGCCGACCCTCCAAGAATGTGGCGATCCGTCTTCGCCACTCTTCGAGCTGTTCACGGTCGGCGAGGGCCAGCGTGCGTTCACAGGCAATGCGGCGCCGCAGGTCCCGCTCCAGAATCTCGTGATCAATGGCGGGAAAGTAGCGTAGATGGCGCAGCGCAGGACACGGCGGTCGCGGTCGCGGAATCTCTCGTAGCGCGCGACGGCGCGGTGCGTTCCCTTGCCGACCCGGTTCGCATAGCTATCGTGAATGAAGCCGCGCTCGAAGATCGGCCCGCATACGGCGCAGAACGCTGATGCACTACGCGATCACGGAAAGGCGCGGCGGAGACGATGCGATGTTTCGGATCGAATATTTTCGGTTTTCGTGTACCTCCCCGGTCGATAGCGGCGACTTTGCAGGTCCCGCTCCAATCGTAGGAGTTCAGTCTCCAAGCCGGCGAGAAGTGCCGCCACGCCCGGCTTGCCTCGCTTGCCCCTCGCGGCACGCAGGGCCGCCGGTTGCCCGGTGTACGTCGCTTCAATCAAACGCTCCAGCACATCGAGAGCAGTCGCCTGGATGCGTTCGCCGAGAAGAACTTCTGCTTGCGGGGAAAGCGCTCAACCGTGGGCACCAGCCACAGGACGAAACGGTAGTGCGCCTCCAGGGCGGCGCCCGTCGTGCGCGCGCGGTTCGCGTCCTTGGCGCGGTCGCCTTCGTCTTCGTCATTCGTCCCCAAACGACACTCCTCATGCTCTCTTGACAGCGAATTTCGGAAATTTCGCACCAAGGGGGCAAGCCCCCAAGAAGCAAAAACTCAAGGGGTGAGCGTCCGGGCCACGCGGAACCCGAGGGTGCCGTATCGGTCGCCGGTGAAGAGCCTGAGCGGGAGCGCGGCACGGAGGAGCCACGCAAGGTCGTCCCAGGAGCCGCCGCGCACGACGCGCACGGCGCAGTCGCCGCGCAGCCAAGCGCTCCCGTCCGATGGCGCGCCGGAATAGCTGCCGTTCCAACAGTCCTCGACCCACTCCCACACGTTCCCGTGCATGTCGTAAAGACCGAACGCGTTCGGCGCGAAGGAACCCACCGGCGCGGTGTATTCCCACCGATCGCCGCAACCATCGTTGTCGCAATTCGCCCGGTTCGCGCCGATTTCGTTCCCCCAACTGTACTTCGTCGCCGTGCCGGCGCGCGCCGCGTACTCCCACTCGGCCTCGCTCGGCAGCCGATACTCGGCACCCGTCTGCGAGGACAACCACGCCACATACTCCTTGGCGTCGTTCCACGACACATAGATCACCGGACGCCGGCCGCGGCCCCAGCTCTCGTCGTCGACCTTGTTCGGGTACGTGAAGCGGTCGTAGTCCTCGAACGTCACTTCGTGCACCGACAGCGCGAACGCCCGCGGAATTGTCACCTCATGTACAGGCTTCTCATCATCGAAACAGTCCAGACCCGACACGCACCCCATGCGGAACCGTCCCGCCGGGACCACCACCATCTCCGGCCCCTCGCCGCCAGCTCGCAGCACGTCGCGGAAGGCGTTACACGTCGCAGGCACCCTCGTCCCCGGGGCTCGTTGCCCGGGCGGACTGCCGCTGACCGTGGGCTGCACCACCACAGGGCGCGGCGGCTC